TCACCCGAGACGAAGCGAAATTAGACCAGGGTTTCTGTCTAAAACAGATCGGACGAAGATGGACTCACCCTGCATTGAATATGATTCTGTTGTCTGTGTGATTCAGGTGGGAAGTGATGATTGTAACGGTCCTATCTCTGTCCCTCTATCAATCTATGTTGGAGATGGCCCGTGATCGAGTGGGCCCGCCTGTTTTCGAAAAAGTGTCGCCGAAATTTAGTTTCCCATTTTACGTCGACGCCACTAGCCAGAAGGCTATCGACTCCATCACAACAACAGTAACATCAACATCTTAACTGCTCAATGACCACGCTTTCTCGCAAGTAATAGACGGTCGGTCGCGTCATCTCCAGAGATGAGATCGGTATGTCTTCAATATATTCACACAATGATATAGACATCACACGATCACTCTGAACAGTTTATTGTGACCTCTTCATGTATGGCGCGTTCCTGTGGGGAAGAGGGTGTTGTAGACGGGGGTCTCTTCTCGCGATGTCGACCTTCCGTTTGTCGACAAGCGAGCTTTCGTCCGCCCCCCGCACATCGGGCCCGCATCTCAAACATCATGCAGTCAGTCTCTAGGGCAAGCAAGCTCTTCAGCGCCAGACCTCTCCCAGCCGTCCGCCGTCCAGTTGCCAACACCACTGTGACTCGTTCGTATCAAGGTGAGAATCATTAAGAAGATTCGGATCATATGGACCGGTCTTACATCGGAGGATAGGACCCTCTGCATATGAGAGAGGAAACCAGTATGACAAGTTTTCTTTCCCAACTCACGCCTACGATGAGTCTAGAAGTCAACTGGGTAACTCAGGCACGAAAGCCTACGCCTACATGGTCGTTGGTGGAGGTTTAGCCGCCGGTGCCACGGGAGCCAAGAGTCTCGTTCAGTCCATGCTGTGTGAGTCGAGGGATTATCATTTTCCCGTGCATCACATTTCCATTTTAAACTCTCGATGGAAAGAATGACAAAGAGGAGTCCTTCTCATTCCCATTACAGGCCATCTGTCTCCCGCAGGAGACGTCCTTGCCATGGCCAATCTGGAGGTCGATATTGCCCCCATCCCCGAGGGAACCACGACCACCTTCAAGTGGAGAGGAAAGCCCCTCTTTGTTCGTCACAGAAATGCCAAGGAGATCGAGCGTGCTTTGGCCGACGATACGGCATCGAACCTGAAGGATCCCGCCAACGATGATACCAGAAGAAAGAAGCCAGAGTGGCTCATCGTCCTGGGTATCTGCACTCATTTGGGTTGTGTCCCTCTTTCCAATGCCGGAGAGTATGGAGGTGATGATGTCATTCCCCTCACATCCTCTAAAGACGCCCAGGTTGGTTCTGCCCTTGCCACGGTTCTCACTATGATACGTCCGGACGTATCCGTATCGGTCCCGCCCCTCTTAACTTGGGTGAGTATCTTCATTCACCCTCATGCGAAGACCGTGCTGATGATGAACGACAGAGGTCCCCCCTTACACTTTCCTCGATGAGACGAGGGTATTGGTCGGACAAGCTGATGAGGCCTAAAAGATTCAAAATAAATCGAAAAAACAAGAAGAGGGGCATTATCGTGACATATAGAGGACGCGAGAGTGACACGTAGAGGGTGTGAGCGGTGAAAGTATTCAGAGGTTGAGTTCGACGAAGATCATCGCTTCTGCGAAGGCGGAGCTTTCGGTTGACAAAATCTTGGTATTTTCCCGTGGGGCGCAGAAACCCATTTTCTTTCTTCGGCATCATCAGGAGCATCGCTCTTCGGTCACTGCCAGCCGATATATTAATCTATTTCACACAGAGTGAGTTATATATTCTATATCGTTTATAGAGGAACCATCATCTTTGTAATCCTCTCCCGTATTCACATTCGGGTCTGTCTTCTCACATTGAAAAGGACTCCGTTATGATACAGACGGTCAAGCTCGTTGCAGTTGGTGATGGTGCCATCGGTAAGACTTGTCTTCTAATTGCATACACGACCAACAGCTTCCCGGAAGAGTGAGAGATATGCTTCGGACCATCCACTCAAAGATTGCAGATACGTACCCACAGTGTTCGACAACTACTCTGCGAACGTTATGGTCGATGGAAAGACCGTATCATTAGGACTGTGAGTTCTCTCGATCGAATCGTCACCCATTAATTCGCACAACGTCTCAATTCTAACAAATTATAGTTGGGATACTGCTGGACAGGAGGATTACGACGTGAGTAACGACATCACCCATATCGCCCCATTCATCCCCCACCTCTTCTCTTTCTCCTTCTGATATCGTGCCAACAGCGTCTGCGGCCTCTGTCTTACCCATCCACCGACATGTTCCTCATTTGTTTCTCTCTCGTCAGCCCGGCCTCATTCCTCAACGTTAAATCCAAGGTAAATATTATCTTCTTCTCCTCGACCTCACACCCTCCAGTGGTACCCAGAAGTCCACCATCACTGCCCCACCTCTCGTATCATGCTGATTGGCACAAAGACCGATCTCAGAGATGACAAAGAAACCCTCGCCAAGTGAGTTCGGATGTCCATCGCCGTCGATGGACCTCCATCTGATCTTCATTAGACTGGCCGATCTCGGACAGAAGCCCATCACACAACTGCAGGGAGAAGAGATGGCAAAGGAGATCGGGGCCGAAGGTTACATGGAGTGCTCTGCCCTCACACAAAAAGGTAATGGCTCGTTGTAGATGGTGATTAAAACCTGCAGGTCTGAAGCAGGTGTTCGATGAGGCGATCAAGTTGGTCATATTTAAGAAGAAGCCTGCGGCTGCGCCCTCGGGCAAATCTTCAAAGGAGGGCAAAGAGAAGAAGGACTGCGTAGTGATGTAATAGAAAAAGTTTGGTCACGAGGTTTGTCTTGTGTAAGATGCATGTGACGACTGACGTGAGACAATCTATTTCGGAGTGGATTGGATATAGATGGAGGGTGGTCTAATCTTCTATGAATGAATGGTGTTGAAGACATTCGTCATAGGTGTTGTCTTCAACGCTGATGTTTAAGAAAAGAGACGAAAATGAAATTGGCGCCAAACAACGAGTCATATATAGAACCTGAGTGATCTGAATCATATCACATCACAAGCTTGGGAAGACATGGACGTCGCTAAAATCTCAGAGGCCAAAGACCTTCAAACTCGCATGGAGAGGATCGGTGCTCATTCTCACATCAGAGGATTAGGTCTCAATGATTCTCTCGAGGCTCGTGCCTCTGAAGGTATGGTCGGACAATCCAAAGCGAGAAAGGGAGTGGGAATCATCTATCAGATGATCAAAGAGGGGAACCTATCTGGAAGAGGAGTCCTCTTGGCCGGTCAACCCGGAACAGGAAAGACGGCCATTGCCATGGGTCTCGCTCAGACACTCGGAGCTGAGGCCGCCTTCACATCCATCGCAGCCAGCGAGATCTACTCGCACGAAATGTCCAAAACCGAAGCATTGACTCAGGCTATTCGAAGGTCTATCGCCGTTCGCATCAAAGAGGAGACGGAGATGATCGAGGGAGAGGTTATTGAGATCCAAATCGATCGACCTGCCTCAGGGACGGTGAGTCTAACCCGATGAGAGTCTTCTCATCTGTCTCACAGGGCTCCAAGAGTGGAAAGTTGACTCTTAAGACGACCGATATGGAGACTGTCTACGATCTGGGAGGCAAGATGATCGATGCACTGACCAAAGAGAAGGTGACCAGCGGGTGAGAGGATTTCCAGTGATCTGTCCTCACACGATATCAGTGACGTAATCACCATCGATAAGGCCACCGGCAGAATCACCCGTTTGGGAAGATCTTTCACTCGCTCGAAGGATTTCGAAGTCGTCGGCTCCAACGTGAGCCTCCATCCCCATATCATCAACATCGTATCATCACAATCACATCATCACATCATCATCTCCCGTTCACACTCCGCAGGTCAAATTCGTGCAGTGCCCGGAGGGAGAATTACAGAAGAGAAAGGAAGTCGTTCACACGGTCAACCTCCACGAGATCGACGTCATCAACAGCCGCAACCAAGGCTTCATGGCCCTCTTCTCTGGTGACACAGGAGAGATCAAGCCCGAGGTGAGACGAGAGAACGTGCGACGCGTGCATGACACACGATCAGGTGAGGGAGCAGATCAACACGAAGGTGGGAGAGTGGAGAGAAGAAGGAAAGGCCGAGATCGTCCCCGGGGTGAGTTGAGTCGAGAGGAGAGAGTCTCACCTGTCATCAGGTCCTCTTCATCGATGAGGTACACATGCTGGACATCGAGTGTTTCTCCTTCCTGAATCAAGCCATGGAGAACGAACTCGCACCCATCATCATCATGGCGTCGAATCGAGGTGATGGTGATCGCGATCATCGCATGATGTGACTCTGGACAGGTATCACCACCATCAGAGGAACCGACCAGAGCAGCCCACACGGTATCCCAATCGATCTATTGGATCGTCTCCTCATCATCCCCACCGTTCCCTACTCTGAAGATGAGGTCCGCTCATCGTCATGACCTTCATGACTCACTCGCGAGCAGATCAGAAAAATCTTGAAGATCAGATTAGAAGAGGAGGACGTGGACATGTCAGACGATGGTTTAGATGCCCTGACAAGATTGGGTGTAGAGACATCGCTGCGTTACGCCATACAGACCATCACTACCTCTGCCCTCGTCTGTGCCAAGAGAAAGGGATCACAGGTGGGAGACCATCTACACGTTTGTAGATTGACCCTTTTTCAGGTGGAGGCGCAGGATATCGCCAAGGTGTATTCTCTCTTTGTGGACGTGCAGCGGTCCACGCAATACCTGCAGGAATACAACGAGATGTACATGTTCTCAGAGAAGCAGGACGTGGAGATGAAGGACGCTTGAGAGTAGAATACAAGAGTGTCTCACTTTGTCTCTCTTCTATTCTTTCGTCGATTCAGAAGAGTTTGTTCGCTTCTCGTGCTTCTGTTCCTATGTCTGTGATCAATGTCACGTTGAAATTGATGGCCGCTTCTAACAAATTCCAATTGTCACACAACCGCTCTTATGGCGCAATCGGTAGCGCGTTCGGCTGTTAACCGAAAGGTTCCTGGTTCGAGCCCAGGTAGGAGCGACTCTTTTTAGATTCGAGGCTTGAATGGGATTACATCTCAGAATATCCAATGGTGATGACGAACGGACTTCTCAACAGCCGCAATGAACGAAGACGTCGGTCAGAACGACTACGGTTACAACGCGCCCTGCATCTCATCACACTAGGAGGGAACAGTTCTCTCGTTTACGTAATTTATATCCTCTTCTGATCATGTCAGTCGACAGCTTCACTGGCTGTCTGACCCATCATGATCTGCTTCTGACTGTTCGAGGATGGAGAGTCGATTCTGTTCACTTCATCTTGGATCCGTATACGACAACAGACTTCATGCTCTCACGGTTCGATCGAATCGTACGGCTACTCTTGGCCGATCCTCGTGTGGATCCATCAAGAACAAACAATGACAACATCATACAGGCAGACTTCCACGGTCATACCGAGATCATACGGCCATTGTCGTCCAACGTGCCTATGGATCCATCACATCAGCACGAACCATCACACATGGCAACCCATCTCTAACTCCTCGTGATTACGAAGAATTCTCACGAAGAAGGACTGAGGGATGTGGAGATCCATTCGCACCAGATAACGATGCCATCATACAGGCAGCCGAACGTCATCACATCGAAATCGTAGTTGCTCTTGTCCGATCCTCGAGTGGATCCATCGGTACGACACAACAGGGCAATTCGAGTTTCAACGTGTGAACCCAAGATAATAGAGCTTCTCTTAGCAGATCCTCCTGTGGATCCATCAGCACGCGAGCAGAGTGCCGTCAGAAACGCATCGGAACAGGGTCACGTCACAGCAGTACGGTTACTCTAGGGGTCGTGTGGACCCTTCAACACACGAGCAAGGTGCCGTCAGAGATGCAACACATAACGGTCATCGCAAGGTGGTGCAGTTGCTCACGGCCAATCCTCGAATGGATTCATCAGAAAACCATAACGAAGCCGTCCGAAACGCAGCGTCGAATGGTCATACCGAAGTGTTGAGCTTCTGTCTGTTACAACACTGAGGCCGTGAAGGCAGCATCAGAACCAGGAGACGACCAAGATGATGGTCCAATGTTGTATGTTTCATAGTCTGATGAGGCTTTCAAATGTGATAAATCACCCTCCTCTGACGCCATCTCTCAGGTGAACACAAAGGTCAACTATACTAACTCCTGATCTCATAAACTACAACAACCGCTCTTATGGCGCAATCGGTAGCGCGTTCGGCTGTTAACCGAAAGGTTCCTGGTTCGAGCCCAGGTAGGAGCGACTCTTTTTAACGATGGACTTTGAACATCTTTTGTGAGCCGCTTGAGGTTACCTTGGCTGAAAATATGGTTGCAGATGTCTTCTTGATCTCACGAAAAACAGTTTTGGAATGGTTCAATTTCGGACGCGTGTTTTCACTCAGAGGACGGTTTACATGAAGAGAGAATTTTGATTTAAAGAAAGCGATTCTATTCATCCTATGCATGCCGCGTTTTCATCGTGTTTAGCAAACAAAGCAAGCGTCCGATTTCTGAGGTTTTCAAAACTCTTGTCTCACGCTTGGGGAAAAAAATAGTCGCTCCTACCTGGGCTCGAACCAGGAACCTTTCGGTTAACAGCCGAACGCGCTACCGATTGCGCCATAAGAGCGGTTGTAATGCGGTTTATGACATGACACACATACATGATGAACTTGACATTGTAATAGTTGAGCGAAAAAGAGTGTTAAAACGAAGATGAGCCGACGAGGAAGAGTTTATCTTATCGTATTCATACTAAACTCGTCGATGTACCGAACCAACGCCTCGTCTCTCTCCTTTCGGAAGGGAACCAGATCCATCCATCTCTTGTCCATCTGCTCATCTCAGACACGTCACTCTCATCTCTCTTCACCTCCATCAGCTCCACTAACTTTTCGTATTTCTCTCCCGAAGAAGGTGTGTTCTGGTTGATGACACCGTGTGCCTTGCTCTCTGCAAACAACTTTTGCAGGTTTCCAAAGGCCTCCACCTTCAGTTCTTCCATGAAGAGAGCGTACTGCGACCTACGGTCGTCGCTGTATAGGACTTCGTATCTGTTTCGATGTTGATGAGACACTGTCGAAACGCTCGATCATCACCTGGCATCGTCCTTGATGTGCGATCGTGCATCGTTGAAGTCTTTCGTTCTCAAATTGATCCTTCCCTTCTCGAACGTCTCGCGTAATAGCTGACGGTAGTTGGACAGTTGTAGTTTGACCAATTCAGCCTTGTGGTCCCGAAATAGATCTTCCTTCTTCAGAGAAGAGATGCTGTCCACACGAAATCTCGCGTCGTGTTCCATCGATTGGCGTGCGGTCCTCCACGATACCTACGGGAGGTCGGTTCCCGCGCGCGGGAAAGATTCAAATTTCGTAACGGCTCACCTCCGGATCTTTCACCTTCTCTTTGAGAAGAGTCTTGAAGGCGATGAGTTCATCGTCTTGGTTGTACCTGCGGATGATCTTGCTCCTCTCTTTCTCTTCCTTCTCTTTCATCGCTGCCACCACCCTCTCTCTCTCCTTCTTACTGGCTTCTTCTCTGTCATGATATCAGATGAGATGTCATAATATATGGTGAGATATCGTAACGATAGGTGAGATATCGTAACGGTATTTGACCACCTTTGCTTCTTTCGCTCTTGATCACCCAGCTTGTCGGTGTGTTTCTTGTATATCTCTTCTCTCTCCGTTGTAGACAGGTGAGGTGTCTGATTTCTCTTGTCCTTCGTGGCATCCAATAGATCGCAGGCATCGATGTATGACGTCTTACTCGTGATCTTATTGTTCTCCTTCAGTAGATCCATCAGTCCCTTCGTCTCCTTCTCCTTCTCTGCGCTCGTCTCTGCAAGGAATGAATGTTAGAAGATCAACGGTCTACAACGAGCCGATTCTCACTCTTCTCGGTGGCCTTCTTGATGGGATCGAGGAGCTCGTTGTAGAGCCTCTCCTTCTCTTTCGAAGTTAAATTCTTGAAGGTCTGAGCGCTGCCAAATTTAGCTTTGAAATCTTCGAAGCTGAGGGTGGCGGACAGGGTACCGTTCTCTGTTTCGAAATTTGAATGCGATGAAATGGCGGGAAAACTCACCGGCCTTCAGAGTGGCATAGATGGTGTCCTTTGCAAGTGCCGTCTTCTCTATCTTCTCCTTCTTGTCCTGCTCCAATTTTGTCTTCACGTAATGAGTGAAGATACTCCTGCGATCGGCATGGTTGGGCAGAACTGAAATCGTCTGAGGATTTTCCATCTACAACGCTCACTCTTGAATCGCGGGTCCAACACGATTTTCGGTAGCTCTTTGTCCCAGGTAGAGAAAGGTTCGATGTTCTTCTCCTTCAGCATGGTCTATACGATCAACGTTAGACATACAACCGCGTCGATTCTCTTCACCTTGAAGATTTCCACTCTCTCTTCGAATGTGAGACCCTGATCATCCTCTTGTCTGTTTCACGTCAGTGACGCCGCGCGAGGAGTGAACGAGGTCGCATGAGGGTCGATGAGACACCCACTCTGTCTTTGCAAACTTGGATCTCTGTTCTTCTTCTTCAGCCAAGAGTCTCTTCTTCACGTTCTCGTGCTTTTCTTCCTCCGTTGGTTCCGGTGGTGGTGCCTCTGCGTTCATCTCGAGACCTTCCATCAGCTCATACGGTTGCAGCCACGTGGCCTCTTTTGTCTCTACGTTGTAAAAGTACTCGTATCCCAGATTCGTCGAGACGATCCTCCACAGGGGTGCCATCGTCTTACGTCTAAATGAGATGAGATGGTGTCGGTGATGGATGTGTGATTGCAAACTCACATCAGAAGAGGTCGTAATTTAGGTTGCTGGTAAATCGTGAGTGGGGAGGATGAGAGATGAGAGACTGACCTCGCGACGAGCCTGAGGAGGCCGTATCCAAGATGCTTGACTCTTGTCCCAATTGTAATAGAAATAATGTCCTGAGAAGACGAACTCGATCCATTCCTCTTCTTCGACTGGCTGTGAGATGTAAGATGGACACGATTGAAATCATCCTCTGGATGTTGATGATGTGGATGATATGAAGAGAAATACATGTGATTACCTCGGGTGGTTGTTCAGCAGGAGCTTCCGCTGCAATTCGTGTCAATCGTGTTTTAGATTGAAACCCATTCTCACTTGAATTAGGTGTCTGACCGTCGGCGGCGGGCATCGTAGGTGCTGTATGATTTGGATGTTCATCTGGTGTTGGCATCATAGGTGCAGGAGGGCGAACTCCTGGTGCACTATCAGGAGCAGGCATCATGTTGGGAGCTCTTGATTGGCCATCAGGAGTAGGCATTAGAGGTGCTTGTTCGTCTGGCTTGGGCATCAGTGGAGGTCGAACACCAGGAGCTGTATCAGGAGCAGGCATCATCATGGGAGCCCTAGGTTGTCCATTGGCTGCAGGCACCAAGGGTGGTCGCACCCCAGGTGCCGTATCGGGCGGTGGCATCATCATCTCGTTGTGATTTTGATGACATCACATCACCGAAAAACTTTTCGTAACATTTTCGTGTGCACAAACTCTCAACATTTGACGACCACACAGACAGCGCTCAAACTCTACATCTATCCCTCAGAACATGGGCCGTGCTCTACCGAAACCTCTACCGCCTCCGGGGTTGATGTTGTAATCGTTCTTAGTCATCGATCAGTTTCACATCTTCCATGCGATCTAGACTGTACCTCTCGGGCGTTCGTTGGAGAATACGGATCCGGCAGCCCAGTGATGGGATTGACGTGGCTCCTTCACATGACCGTCAGCACGATGTTCAAACATCTTTCACTCACAGCACAGGTGAATGTCTGTATCTCTGTGTCCTCTTATCCGGCGTGGTATGTGGAGAGACGACATCGATCTCTGCCGGCTTCGGTATAGAAGACGATGATGGTGATCGTGTCCCCCGAGCGAGCTCCGTCCCGTGCTTCGATTCCAATACCAACAACTTCCCATGAGGTGGTGGAGCTGTTGCATCCACGCTCGTGCGACATTCTAAACCTCTCTCTTCTCTCTCATCT